CTACTGCGGATATCCTCATTTCTAAGTTTATCACGCAGAGAAACCCTGAGCATAGCCCTCTTATAGCTCGCTGAGCGACCTTAAGCTTCCTCATACGGCCAGCAGTGAAGGACCACGTCTCAGTTCCGTAAGTCATCACTGGCAACACGCACTGGTTGTACAATTTCGTTTTCAGGTTTTGAGGTATGTCTAACGAGTAAATGTGTCGTAGTTTCCCAAACGCTGCCCAGCCGAGTTGAATCCGTCGATTGACCTCTCGGTCGAAGTTGGACTTACCTAGTCGAACTATTTGTCCCAGGTAAACATACTCGTCACCAACTTCGAGCTTAGTGCTCCCAACAACTACCGGCATAGGTGTCACATTGATGATTTTTGTTTCGTCCATGTTCATCTTAAGACCTATCCGTTGGGAGACATTATTGAGGTCATTGAGCATAGTGCTTAAGTCCTCCAGCGATTCTGCCATAAGAAATATATCGTCGGCAAATCTAAGGTGAGTGATGTACTCGCCATTGATGTTAAAACCGCATCCTTTCCAGTCCAGTAGCGTGAAAACGTCTTCTAATGCAGCGATGAAGAGTTTCGGGGATATAACGTCACCCTGTCTTACACCTCTCTCTGCAGTTGGATAGGTTTCGTACTCTGATTCTGTACTCGGATAGCCATCGTAGCTCTACTGTACAAACACTTCAGCACTTCGATATACTATAGTCAACTTGGCACCGCTGAAGGGACTGCAGCACCGCCCAAATTTCGACGGAATCAAAGGTTTTCTCATAGTCCACATACGCCAGACATAGTGGTAAATTGTACTCCTCGGACTCATACGCAAGGCAGAGTAGCAGCTTATACTCATCTGTCTTCTGTACAATCTGCCGCAGGGTACGTATGTGGTCCATGGTACTAAAGCCTTTTCGGAAACCGGCTTGTTCGGGAGGCTGGAAGTCGTCAAGTCTGTGCGCGAGACGATTCGTAATGACTCTCGAAAACAGCACGTAGAGCAAAATTATAATAAAAAAACTGCGGTTGCCAACCCGCTCGCCAAGCGTGGCAACTATGGCGATACCCCCAATATGAAGGTAACGAAGAGATGGCCACCAGTCCCCGGCGGCCCCGCTATTCCTGGCTACGGTGGCGACCATGGTAACGGCGGGGCAGGGGGTGCTAAGAATCTCCAGTGGAGGTTCGGTTGCCACCTACGACGACTCGACCTGGCAACATACAACGCACGCACCCTGAGGACTGACGAGAAGTTCGTGAAGCTGGAAGAAGAGATAGACAAGTTACGCTGGCATATTATAGGATTATCCGAAGTCCGAAGAGAGGGGGAGGACACGGTAATCCTAGAATCCGGCAACTTGCTCTGTCAACGGTAGGGCGACCATCTGTCCCAAGGAGGTGTCGCTCCGACAAAAAATGAGATTGACTTCATTATGACGACCAGACCACAACTGTTCAGTGATGTCTCCGTGATCGCGAGGGTGAAAACTGGTGGCGATCACCGAATGGCTAGAGGCATACTGAACCTAAACGTTAAGTTGGAGAGGTCTCGTCTAATGAAGTCAACGCTCTGTCCCCCTCGTGCTCTGTTCCAAAGTCCCGAAACCTTTTAGCTCGAGTTACAAAACCGTTTTCAGTGCCTAGAAGACTGCAATGCAGTGGACGATATGAATGACAAGCTCGTGGAAACTGTCCATGCGGTCGGAGCTAAGTTCCGCAAGACCCGCCGCAGAAGAACACAAAAACTCTCCGATCACTCTTAATCTCATGGCTGTTAGACGGGAGATGAAGCTACATTCTTCAACAGATTTGACAGCATATAGGCAACTGAACAGACAGATCTCCAAATGCATGCGGCGGGACTTACTCAACTTCAATACAGCTTGTATTGAAGAAGCGATCGAGTGGAACCAAGGCTCCAAAGTCTTTGCCAGGGATCTGTCTGCCAGAAAGAGCCAACTATCGAAGCTGAAGACCTAGTGTGGCAGCATCGTTTCCGGGGCACCTGAGATTTTGAGTGAGATTGAGAGGTTCTATGGGCAGCTGTACACATCATCGTTGGAGTCACACGTAAGTGTGAGTAACGATCCAAGAGCGAGTCTTATCCGACACTATTCCGAAGATATTTCGGACGTCAGTCTGAGCGAGATTAGAATGGCTCTCCAGCACCTTAAAAACGGCAATTCCCCGGGCGAGGATGGAATTACAGCGGAGCTTTTGAAAGCGGGCAGAAAACCGGTACTTTTTTTTTTATTTATTTATTCATAGAAAGAGTGTTACATAATTTACATTTCAAACTTTGCCAAACTGTAAGCCAGTTTGTCGGCAACGCAACATTCGACAACGCAACGCAACTTGAAGTCCTTCATAAGTTCTTTAATTCCGTCCTCCATGGTGGCACTACTCCGGAGGCGTGGAGCAGAAGTGCGGTGGTCTTGTTCTTCAAGAAAGGCTACAACGCTCTCTTGAAGAACTACAGACCGATTTCCCTTCTGAGCCGCGTCTACGTGCTGTTTTCGAGAGTAATTAATCGATAAAAAAAATAATAAGTTCAACAATCATTTATCTTTCTGACAATGTGCTTTTTATATCATTTATATGTATAATATGATTGCTAGATACGATTTCATGCGACAAAACGTTGGAATCTTAATTTTTAGGCCCTAGCAGAACATACATGCGCGCTTCGCGCTTAAGGCATGCGGCATGCATGGTAGTACCGCATGGTGCATGGTGGCGAATTTGCCAAACAAACCACGAAAATAAGGGTGGATTACTGGCTTCCCAAAATGAAAGGCTTCGTTAACAAATACGAGTATGTTTCTGCTTGCATAAATTGCGCATACAGCAAGGAAATGTCTGGAAAGAAAACAGGTTAATTATACCCAATTCCTAAGACTTCGACCATCTTTCACGCACTCTACATGGGTCACTGAGACCTTTTTATTAAGAGTAAAAGGAGCAACACATTTATTTTAGGGGATCTGGACGGACGGATTCTTCATAAGGACTGTCAAGAATATCAAGTCAAAGACGACTGTTAAAGCTCTTGAAGATATTTTTTCGAATTTCGAAAAATTGTTGTCTCTGATCAAGGCACTAGTTTCACTTCTACAGAGTTTCGGAAATTCATAGAGCCTTTAGGAATTAAACATGTCCTCAACGGAGCAGTTACACCACGAGAAATTGAACAGATTGAATGATACAATCGAACGATCTTGAAGTCATTTGCTGCATTAAACCACGACCTTGAAGAAAAGGACTGGGACTTAAATATACAAAAAAATACAGTGGAGTTTGAATAACACCATGAATCAATGAATCGGCAAGTCACCTGCAAAAGGCAGGATTAGAACCAGGTAAAAAATTGTCAAGAAGAGATAAGAACCACTGTTGAGAACAATATTAAAGAAATACAAAAGAAAATGAAAGAGAATTTGGATAAGACGCGAGCTCCTACTAAGATTTTTAAGAAAGGTAAGTTGGTCGTGATACCAAATCACTAACTACCCTGAGAAGGGAAAAAGCATAAAACTAGCTCTTTTAAAATTACTTCTGTTTTAGGCCAAGATATATATGACGTAATAAACATCGATGGCCACTCTTAAAGGAATAGAATAGAAACATTTTTGTTCAATATAATGTGCTTAAATATAATATACATGTAATTCTAATTAAAATATTTTTTTACTTTTTTACTACTGGTTCGGTAAAAACCTCTGTTCTGGAAAGAACTAGCAGGAAACTCAGTGGGACTTTTTTTAATAGAATTAATTTACAATATATAATTTAAAAAAATATATGAAGACATTATAAACAGCATGCTATCGAACACCTCATTCCCAGGAGTTACTATCAATCATGTACTCTTTAGTAGTATAATAACTCTTACTAAACAATTTTTGCTTAATAAATAGTTTAAACCTTTTGATAGATAAGGTCAGCATATTTTCTGGGACTTTGTTGTAAAAGCGTATACATTGCCAAAAATTACACACTCTTTATAGTCGAATATGTGTGTTTGTTCCTAGTATTTACAAAATGTACATCACTATTTTTAATAAAACTGTTTTAGTTTTTGTGTACATACATAAATTTTTCGTAAATATACTGAGAGGCCAAAATTATTATATTTATTTCTTAAAAAAATTATCTGAGGTATTCCACGGACCTATGTTATAAATTGATTGTATGGCTCTCCTCTGCAAAAAATGTTTCAAGGAAAGGAGAAAAAGGACCAATTTCAATATATAACTATGTAATTCATAATATATAATAGTAACTTCAATTACAAAGCTTTAATAATTAATATTTTAATAATTTTCAAATGTGGTTATTAATTAGACTGACTAGCTGCCATGCCTTTGCCCATGAATAGCAGGAGTGAATAATTTTAAAAATATTTGTAAAAGTCACAATTAAACCGATGAGGCCACTCAATGTCTTATTAAAAGAGGTTTTTTTTTAACAAAAATAATCACAATTTATCCCTAAGCTTGAGTTTAATAGGAATACATATTTAGAAACCGAACCGTATTAGAGTTCGAAAAAGTTGTAAAAACCTGCTTATAATACAGAAAATGGGGAACTACTTAGAATCGCAAAACTATGTTTAACCCTTTAATCTCGTCTATGTACGGTACCACAGAATAAAACGGTACTACCAGCCGCTCCATTGCGGCCCCTCCTCAATGGCAGGCGTGCGTGCGTGTGTACGTGCGTGAGTGCGTGTGTGCGTGTGTGCGTGCGTGCGTGCGTGCGAGCATGCGTACGTGCGTGAGTTCGCGCGTGCGTGCGTGTGTGGGTAAAAGAGATTTCTTATAAGGTGTGATTTTTAATAATATGGGTGATTCTGGGGACACCTTAGTGGCAATTATGACATATTCTCCTAATATATGACGACGCTATATATTTTAATAAATGAATCAGAGACTTCATGATTATGTTACTGTATAATGAGGCCGAGATGCAAAAATATTTGTTACCAAAGCTTTACTCACCTGTCTGAAATATAGCCATAAATCAAACTTCCTGCTAAAATCCCAAACTGTAGCATCGATTGAGCAAGGCTGGCTAATTGCGTTTTACCGCAAATGAGATTCCATGTACTCGTGACGGAGCTGACGATGCCACTCGTGTCATATTCTGGATTCTCACATGGACAATAGTTTGTCGCATTTAAGTTACTTTCATCTAAGCACACGTAGTCAACACTTGGTAGAATAAAAACAACATTTGTCAACTGGAACTCCATAGGGTAACGAGATATTAAGATTAAAAATAATATCCATGTTTGATATAATCCAAACCTCCCGATAATCTTTTCAATAAAATCTTCTTCACTCATATTCTTGACAAAATTTGCACAAATATTTATCAGATTTAAACAAAGCACATGGCCTAATTAAATAACGCTACGAGCGTTATTTATTCGTCCGTTACATTCGTTGTCCGTCCACTTATTAAATGATCTTATATTTTTGCTCATCTATTATACCCACAAACAGGTTTTGATACAAGTTTTCCATAAAACTCGTAAAATATAATACAAGTCGTATTATGGATGTCATGATCATAGCCTTGTTTACACATATAATACAAGTCGTATTATATGGCTCCAGTACATGTTGGCCAAGCGCGCTCGGCAGATTTTCGTGGTGCCGTTCACACGTTGGCGTGTTTCATTCTGCGTTGGTAGCTAGATGATGATGGACGTTAGGACGATCGCGGCCGCGGCAATGTACTTGTACAGCGCTTTCAAATTTTATTTAGATGTGCACCAGAGAAGAGTGATTAAAAAAAGATGGCGCAAACGAAGATGGTGGATGGTGAGTATTCTATATGTATATACACTATACATACAATAATAATCCCAGTTTGTCCTTTTTAGGGTTCTGACCTCAAAAGGAGAAAAGAAACCCTTATAGGATCTATTGGCTGACCAGTGCCCGCTTGGCTGGGCGTTTTTTTTTCAAAATAAAAGATAGCCTAAAAGAAGCTATCTATATAAGCTAGCTATATATATATAAGCTACATTATCCCTGAGCAACATAAACTCAGAGATAATTTATAATAATATTCGTCATCAGGTAGGTACTCTGAAATCGCAACTAAACATGTATTATTTAATACAGTTAGACAAGTTTGGGGTTCCATATAACTCATTCATTGTAATAAGAATCAATGAACCTAAATATTTCCTCATTAGTCCATGTCGCCATGTTCGTGAAACAATTTTATTAAGCCGACACTACAGTCTACTCCGACGCGTAACTATGAACTGAATACTCGGCCAACGTGTGAACACTGTTTGCGGCTTGCGCCAAATTTCTTTGATTTGTGCACGGAAAACCGACACTATACGGCTTGTCGGCGAGTGTTGGCCGCAAACGCCAAATATATACAAAACGGCCCAGTACACGTTGGCCGAGCGCGCTCGCCAAGCGCGCTTGGGCAGCGTGTACTTGAGTCAATAGATGTCATGATCATACTTGTTTACACAGCTGACAACAAGTATTAAGCAAGTGTAGTATAGAAATACGTTTGGGTTCACACTTACTGTGTGACATGTTGTGTTCTTGCTTCTTGTACAGATGCACCCTTCACACCGATCAAACGTCATCATGTCATAGATAGGTTGCCAGTATTTCTTTGCAAATTGTGTAACTGACAAGTCTTAAACATTTTGCTTTACTATAACTGTGCACATTGGAAACACATTTCACTACAATAAAAGTGAATAGATATATAACAACAAAATAATGTTGAAAAGCCGGTTTTAAACAGGAAAATACTTTTGACAAGTTTTCTGCAAGTTGTGTACACCACTATTCTCATTCTCACAACTCGTTAAGTGTATTGGAAAGCGGGGTACAGTGAATCACTTTTTTAAAGACGAAAAAAAAAACAGTATATAGACGATTAATTACAATTTTTGACAAATTTGGCAAAATCACCAATAGTTTTAGATACCAAGATTTTTTTAAAAGGGGAAATTAATCCACTGTACCCCGCATATGGGATCATTCTTGGTATTGTAACACTGCCCCCCCCCCTTACTTTTTTTCTTTAGAAATATATATCTATAAGATGTATAAAATATATCAAATTTACGTGACCAGTGTATTAACCACAACCGTCTTTCTAATGGTTTAAATATAGGCTGTTTAATAAATTTATGGCGTGATCGTCTTAATTAGGACCCTTATTTACGTTGTGTTTATATAGTAACTTAGTTCTTTTAGGTGTCCTCTTGGAAGAATGATTATTCACTAGAGCAGTCGAAAACTGTTGCTAGTGCCTTATAAGCGAAGGAACCCTGTTCATGAAGATAGGGTTCAAAAAAGGTTAAGAACATTAAATCGTCCCTATTACACTTGTATCAGGTTCACATCAGTCAATTCCTTATTAATTAACCCCTTCCCGCTTGGAAAAGGCTCACAATATTTATATCAAATACCAGATATAAGGGCTTCGTTCTCCCACATTTAAAAAAAATATGGGGGAGACATATGGCTCCACACTCGCCACGTGCGGTGAACCAACCAACGCGCTCCCCTCGAAAGAGACGTTAAGTTGGGAAATGGACCGTAGTCCACAGCTAAAATACTGGGGTACCAGTAAAAGAGGGATTGGCCCCTTGGTAGTGCGTAGGCACAAACATCAACCAAAGTCGCGCATGTCAATGCGTGTTAATGCCATACAGAATACGATCAAATCCAGCCACAGTAAATGTACGTCACACGGATTAGGTAACAATAGGCACACTAGCCATAAAAAGCCCTCCATGAGCGCCATCGCCTGCCAGACCGCCGTTCCTGCAGATGTGATGTAAGTGTAAGGCATCACCACGAATCGTATGATCAGCACGGCTAATTAGCCGTAAAGTGTGTCATGAGTCTACCGCTCACCTCAAAGGAATAGGGTTCCACGTTGCGCGGCTTTCGGCTACAGCCTTGAGAGCCTCCTCAGATTCTCCCTCCAACTACAACCCGCATGAGGTTGACACATATGCTCTACCAACAAATACAATGGCAGATATAGTCAATAGTAAATAAAAACAGAAAGGGTGTGTGTCACTGACGTTGACTATATGCATTTTTCGATCATGTTTGTCTCACCCACCAACAAGTTGCCTTCGATCATTCAAAGGTGGGAAATTTATAGAGATATATTATTATGTTATTATATAAAACATCATGGAGGTCAGACGACAGTCTGCAGCACCGTAATGAAGGGACCCGACTTGGGCAAACCTACTTAGGTTGTGAGTCAAATCAAGACGCAGAGAGCGTCATTGAGAATAGCGACCCGCCAAACAACCATCGCAGTGACGCAATGCTACAGAACGCAACAAGCATCAATACGACTATCGTCGGGCTTCCATCATCCCAAGGTCCCCCATACAATCCCAGCAGACATCACCACCCGCATACCTCCATCGACCAGAACCACAAGATGCGTCGAATCAGGCGTAACACACCCGCTGATCCATCACAATTTTGCAAATAGCAGTAAGCATCAATGCAACTATCATACGGATGGCGCCCCCTCACAACACACCCACATGATCCCTATCTTACTTTGGTAACGAAATTGGTACCGTTGTTAACTAAAAATACCACCAACGTATCATAGTAGCACGCTAATAAGACGATAGGAGCCAAAACTCCACGTATCATAGTTCATAGCTCTATTGCACTAAGACATGGATTTGAGTATGCTTGCTGCACATAAAAGTACTATCAAACACACTCACCCTAATCCGAAAGAAAGCCGACGTATCATAACGCTATGTGTTAAGACACCGCTCACAAACGGTAGGAGTGTGCGATGGCCACGGGCAAGTCGTATAAGAGAAGAGCTTACATCTTTCTAAAAGGCTGGCAACGCATCTGCAATTCCCCTGGTGTTGCGGTTGTTCATGGGCGGCGGCAGTCACTTACCATCAGGTGAGCTCTTCTATAAAAAAATTGCTACAACAAACCCGTTTACCACGGGCACTAAGATGATATGTCTAGGACACATCGGTTAGCGAGTCCAAGTTTACCTCGGTCTCGGACACTTTGTAGTAATCTACACGCCACTATAATAATCCTTTTCAAGTCCCATTTCTTGTAAAAAATGCTTTTACATATTTGAGACCTTCCACATATTTACTTTATTTCATGGACCATACTATTATATGTCTTTAATATATGGGACTTCAAATCACAACTCTGCTATCATAATGCTTGTGCATCATAGAGACCTTCTATATTAATGCTTTTGTACCATAGACCTTACTATCATAAGTCCCTAATATAGGACTATAAATTGTTTAACAGTACTAGTAGCAGTCGGTCAGCCGACCACCCCATATATATGTACAACCATGGGTATGTATCTCCGACAACGCCTTTATATAAGCAATCATTACATGAACACTCTCTAGTAATACAAGAACTGAAGAATATATGATAGAAGAACTCATTAACTTTTTTGACCCATTTTTCAATTATATTACAAATGTTATATATATTTATTATTGCAATATAATCGTTTTGTACTTCTATTATTTATTTCAATTTGGAATATTTTAAGCACAGTTTTAATAAATTAAAAGGTTTTTAAAGACAATATTAAGCCTTTACTATACTGTAATACTTAATATTCGAAATGAATATATTTAAATTTTATGCTTATTAAAGCATATTAATTGTTCATATTAATTGTTCACTTCGACCGAGAGGTCAATCGACGGATTCAACTCGGCTGGGCAGCGTTCGGGAAGCTACGACACATCTTCTCGTCAGACATACCTCAAAACCTTAAAACGAAATTGTACAACCAGTGCGTGTTGCCAGTGATGACTTACGGAACTGAGACGTGGTCCTTCACTGCTGGCCGTATGAGGAAGCTCAAGGTCGCTCAACGAGCTATGGAGAGGGATATGCTCGGAGTTTCTCTGCGTGATAAACTTAGGAATGAGGATATCCGCAGTAGAACCAGAGTGACCGACATAGCCCAACGGATTAGTAAGCTGAAGTGGCAGTGGGCCGGCCATATAGCTCGAAGAACCGACAACCGATGGGGAAGAAAGGTTCTCGAGTGGCAGCCTCGTACCGGTAGGCGAAGTGTAGGGCGTCCCCCCACGAGATGGAGTGACGACCTGGTAAGACATGCAGGAAGTCGATGGATGCAGGTGGCTCAGGACCGTGTTTTGTGGCATTCTTTGGGGGAGGCCTATGTTCAGCAGTGGACTTGTGAAGGGCTGTAATGATGATGATGATGATGATGAATTGTTCAAATTATTTTATATATGATATGTTTAAATGTCTATATATTTAATTTAATTATTATTTATTAATACTAATTATGGGCCGTCACACTATGTAGATATAGAATTATAATCGGTAGAAGGAAATTAAATCACGTAATTCCTTGGCACATATTTTTATACTCGTATTGTAGTATACACAGAGC